GGGGGGGGGTGGGGGGGGAAGGGGGGTGGTTGGAACTTTTTAAATGTCCATGTCGATGTGATCTTGGTCAAGCTAGGAGCTAGGTGCACATGTCTAGTTTTGATAAAATTCTGTTTTGTGTTTTCTCTAATTGTAGCCTACATGATTTTGTAACCTAGAAAATAGCGAGTATTGACTTGCTTCTGCTTCATTTTGAGGAATTAAATTTGTATCCCATGAACACTAAGGAAACCAACGGAGCCCATAACTTAAATTTGGAAAGTGTGACTCAGCTCCCCCCCCTCCCGCCCCCACCCCACTTTGTTTTTGAAAAAAAAAAGTATTGTTCCTATATCCTTTGATAAATATTATCTTAAATTGATGACAATGTTCTCATATCCCCCTATCGCCAGTAGTCCCCCAAATGCATGATATAAATGATTAAGACACTTTCGCCTTCACGGGTCTTGATTATGTGTGGTTGTAAATAAGACATCTTCACGGGTCTTGATTATGTGTGGTTGTAAATAAGACATCTTCACGTGTCTTGACATCTTCACGGGGTCTTGATTATGTGTGTTTGTAAATAAGACATCTTCACGGGGTCTTGATTATGTGTTGTTGTAAATAAGCCATCTTCACGGGGTCTTGATTATGTGTGGTTGTAAATAAGACATCTTCACGGGGTCTTGATTATGTGTGGTTGTAAATAAGACATCTTCACGGGGTCTTGATTATGTGTGGTTGTAAATAAGACATCTTCACGGGGTCTGAGATTATGAGTGGTTGTAAATAAGCCATCTTCACGGGGTCTTGATTATGTGTGGTTGTAAATAAGACATCGCCTAAGCCCTTGATCCCCGTGGGTGGGCAGATTGGGTTGTTACGATTCTGAAAGTGAAAGTAAAAACAACCTCGCGCCACCAGTCTGACTGAACTGTTTCCAGGAAAACAGCGTTCACAAACGCCCCCCCCCCTCCCCCCAGCGCCCCCCCCCCCCCCCCCCCCGCCCCCCCCCCCCCCCCCACAACACACACCAGGACCCAGGCATTTAATAACACGACGCCATCAGCAGGCCCAGCCGCACACGGGCTTCTGTGTGACTACATATCTGGGACAATCAGTTTCAGTTTGACATGTGAGCCTCAGGTATATTTTCGACCAGTTTGTTAGCTGTTTTTTAAGGCGGGGGTGGGGGGTGCGCGGGTTGAGGGTGGGGAAGGGGGAGGTTTTAGAGCTTTTTGAAAAAGAAAATGAAACGACTGTTTTTGAGGCGTAATTTTAATTTTTTTTTTATGTAGAGTAGCGCCTATGGGCCAGGTTTAAACAAAAAAAAAATATTTTTTTTAAAAAAAAATCGTGGGCGATTAGTGTACATTGTACATGACACAACTGTGATGTACTCGGTTCACACGCACACGTCACAAGAAACCACACAAATGTTGTGTGAGGTCAAACAAAAAAATTATTGTTGCACTCGATGTTTTGTTGCACTCGATGTTTGGTTGCACTCGATGTTTTGTTGCACTCGATGTTTTGTTGCACTCGATGTTTGGTTGCACTCGATGTTTTGTTGCAATCGATGTTTTGTTGCACTCGATGTTTGGTTGCACTCGATGTTTTGTTGCAATCGATGTTTGGTTGCACTCGATGTTTTGTTGCACTCGATGTTTTGTTGCACTCGATGTTTTGTTGCACTCGATGT